GAATATATGAATATGGTATAAATTTAAAAGGAAAATACCAAAAATCAACTTATCCATCAAGAACAAAGTTTTTAAAAGTAACAATTTGTTTTTTTTGGGCCTTAAACATGTTCCATAATTTGATTCATTCGGCCGATCAAACATTTAAAAGATTCTTAAACTTGTATTCGTAATATAATTCAAGAAAATTAAGAAACAAAAGCTGAGATTGGTTAGATGAAAGCAGAAATAGTAAGAAAGCACAGCACAAGATGACAATCTGAAAAATGAAAAGAGATCGGATGACAGTGCATCGTTATACAGAATAAAAATTCGAGTTGCATATAATCATCAATACGCATTTCCACAAATCGAGTGAAAGTTAAGCGGCTGTGGAATTTGAGTGAAACCATCCGTCGTTTAAAGCGGGTTAATGACATGACGTAAAGATAAAAGGAGAAAGCCAACAACACTCCAAAAGATAGCGACAAAAAACAAAAGAAACGACGGGGTTTTAATTGAATGATGTGCGATGGAGTCTCAATAATTGTTTCCCTCTCGAGCCCTGCGCTTGCTTTCTCCTGCTTCACTCCCTCCCCAGGGCCAGGCGTGTACACATTATCACACCAAGGCAGTGGTCGAGTTGAATTTATCGCAGTAGAAATAATAATTTCAACTTTCCGCTTTCTGGGTTCTAAACACAATTACTTCCGCATTATATTTTAACGACGGATATTATATGATTTAAAATAATATTAATTTTAATCAATTGATTTAATATAATGAGATATTAGATACCTTAAGTTAAGTTAAATATTCAAATCATGATATTTACGAATGAATCAAATTAGATAAAAAATATTATTCTCATTATATAGATTTTTATAAAATTCGATCTGAATTAATCGATCAAAAATCAAATTACTGTGACTAATTAAAAGTAATATCGTTAATTTGGATTCTAATTTTCCTTTCATGGGTTTGGAATCAGTCATTTAATTTCATAATGAACTCGACAAAGCTAATTAAGTTAGGCATCCATTTAGTGATGGACAATAATTATATTTTACTTTTTCTATATGTTCTTTTTAAACTCTCATTACTAATCATTAGCTTTCCGTCCTTCGAAAAGAGAAAGACAAAAGTGTCTGTACTGTTCATTAAAGCCTTAAATTTTGTTGTACCAAAGGTTAAACCCGTATGATCTACGAAAGATCTATTACATCAGGCATAAAACAGAACATTATTACCCTAACCCCAGTAGGTTTCTACGTTTCCTTGACCAAGAACATTTTAGTTGGGAGCAGAATGCCTTTAGAAACTGCCTGCAAAGGAGTGAACCGGAGCCATAAGCTGGCTAAAAAAACTCTCTTACTCAAAATACATGTAGGGGTCCCTCTCAAAATCACACAGGCACACAGGTAAAGCTGAGTCCCCACCCTATATAGCCTAAACAGAAGCCGCTCGGCACTTCCGTAAATAAGGGCCAGAGGAGACATACGTACAATTTAGGTGAAGATTTATAAAGTGCAACGGGTGGGTGGGGGTTACAGATAGGGTCAGAGCCTTTATCGACGCACTTCTTTGTTTATTTTATACAGCGTACGAGCAGTTTCAAGACAAAAAACGTACTTTTGAAACCCTTTGGTCTAAGATCCTGAGGTGAAACTTGAAATATTTGGTAGATTTTGGAACGTTTACGCTATGTTTAGATTGGGTAAAGGATGTGAAATAAGAAACCTTGTTTTATTTGAAAAAAAAGAAAACCATTTTAATTAAGGGAAAATAATTTTATTGACCAAAAATACCTTATAATATACGATTTTAATCAATTTTTTTTGGATTTGTCAAAATGACTAACTAAATCGCAATGCGATCGATAATTCGCAACGCGATCTCCGGTATCGCAAATCAGTTTCCAGATTCGCAACGCGATTTATTCCAAGTTCGTTGCGATAGTCGAAGTTCGTTGCGATAGTCCAAAATCGCAACGACGATATTGCATTTGTTTCTTAAGAATTTTTTTTCTAAAAAGATAGTATTCGCGCGGACGTGTCAAAGACATGTATTACCACGACCACGACCACGACCACGACCACGACACGAGACGGACGGCGACGGCGGCGCGTGAGAGTCCCCCTTGTTCTCTATCACTCAACAAGGAAGTGAGAAAGCCAAGACTTAAATACCATTCCCAATAGTGTTTCTAATACTATGTGGGATTAAGCATTACCAACACTTGTTCCCAATACTATGTGGGATTGATCCTTAAATAGTGATATTATTTTTGAATGTTTTGCTTAAAATTGCAATAATCGCGATTGATTGTAGATTGGCATTTAATTATGACATATTTAATCGTATAATACTAATGCAATTGGTTGCTGATTCAGTTGTTTTAAGGTGCATGATTGTTAATTGTTTCCTGAATAATCACATTGTATTGGAAAAAGTGTTGGTAATGCTCAATCTCACATAGTATTGGAAACACTATTGGGAATAGTATTTAAGGCTTGGCTTTCTCACTTCCTTGTTGAGTGATAGAGAACAAGGGAGACTCTCGTGCGCCGCCGCCGCCGTCTCGTCTCGTCTCGGGTCGGGTCGTGGTCGTACGTGTCTTCGACACGTCCGCGCGAATACTATCTTTTTAGAGAAAATTCTTAAGAAACAAATGCAATACAACCAGTCGTTGCGATTTTGGACTATCGCAATGCGAACTTGGATTATCGCAATGCGAACTTAGACTATCGCAGTGCGAACTTGGACTATCGCATTGCGATTTACATATTCGCATTGCGATAGTCCAAGTTCGCATTGTGATAGTCGAAGTTCGCGTTGCGAACCTGAAAACTGATTTGCGATACCGGAGATCGCGTTGTGAATTATCGATCGCATTGCGATTTAGTCGATCATTTTGGCAAATCCAAAAAAAATTTGTTAAAATCGTATATTATAAGGCATTTTTTTTTTCAATGAAGTTATTTTATCTTTAATTAAATGATAACAAAGAGGATGCTAAAGAATGTTCACTTTCTATTAAATGTCCGAAATAGAGAAAGAGGCACTATTTCATTTCTTTTAAACTCTCTTTTTCTTTTCTTTTCTTTTCTTTTACCAGTAGAATCTATCGTAGGCATTAGAGAGGGTTAAAAAATGGGGTTGGAGCGGACCCACGGGGCTTTTGCATGTGATGGACATGATTAATATGATTTATAGCTCGAAATGTATAGGGGGGCATTTGGGTTTTTTACCCTTCAAGCATACTATTAGAGGTATAATTTGGCATTGCATGACATAGTTGTCACAACTCACAAATCTAGGTTATAAAAACTCCTGATCACGTGCCTACTACCCAACCTCTTTTTATCACAAACCTAAAGCCACTTCACTCTTTTCTTTTCTAATTCCCCACCAAAGGTCTTTTTTTTTTACCTAAGAAAAGCTTAAAAACCGACACTACTTGTTACAGCTCTTATTCTCTTCTCGAGAAAGCATTATATAAAATAGATTCGTCAGTTTAATACTTTTAAATCTCATAAGAATCATAAACGAACGGTTCTAAGAAGAAGAACAAATCATTGGGCTCAGTGTTAATTGCAAGAAATTGGGCTTGTAATGGTAGGTTCAATGTCGCCTGGTGGGCTCAAAAGAAATGGAAGTCCCGACACCGCTTTGCTAGCTAATGGCCTAATGCAGAAGCAATTGGTCTTCCTCTAGTTTGATCTGTTTGCAATGTTGTTAAATGACCTGATTCCAGGATTCATTCATCATTAACCAACAATGTAGAAATCAATCTCTCCACTAATTTATTCATTACATTCTTTAGGTAAAAAGATCAAACCCTAAAACCATGCTATCTGGAACAACATAATTTCATTTCTTATAATTTCTTAAGCTGCCAATTTCATCTCGATTCTAAAATTAAGGTCTTAACAAACTAATGAGTATGTATGAAATACTATTAAGTTTGATGTTGCTTGGTAAAATGAAAAATTAAGCGTTAAATATTAAATGCTAGAAAAATAATTATTGGATTTTTTTATAAATTATATTTTATATTTTGTTTAAAATCAAATATTGGATATGATTAGGTTATTTGTTAAACATGAATTTTAAAGTATAGTAGAATTATAATTATAATTAAAATAAAATAAATTAAAACATATTAAATATATTATGTATTGAGTGATAATTAAGTCTCTACCTACTTAATAACTTTTATATTTTTTTATAAAAAAATTCTATTTAATGGTTTTTATTTTAAATTATCAAATACGTTATACAAATTAATTCATTAAAAATGCAAGACTAAAATCCGAGAAAAAGGGGACCATTTAATCCATCTTCTCTTGTCGTACACTGGAAAAAGATGTGTTAGAAAAACTATTAAAATTTTCAACTTACTAAAAATTTGCTTCATTGCATTAATTAGCAAGTTGCACTTTGATGTCCCTCAATACAGTTGTGCTGTTTGACTGACTGCGTCACTTTGTTTTTTTTTATATAAAAGTGTTTTCTCTACAAATAATTTTAATATATCATTATATATTAATATTTTTATTAAATAAATAAAACTGAATAGGATTATTAATTTATGTTTACTTTTTAGAAATGAAAAGAATTATATTTAGCACTAATAATCTGTTGGTTTAGTACGATCTTACGAAGTATTAGATTCTTTAAAAAAAGTTAGAGATTTAAATATTGACATTTACAAATAAAATAAATTAGGTTGATAGAATTGTTTTGTATATCTATAAAATTATATATGAATTTGTCAATCAATTAATCAACACATATAATTAATTCGAAAAAATATATATTTATCAGTATACGTAATAAATATTTCACAAAGCATTTTAATGCTTTATCGGGCGTGTTTGACGTTTCCTCTACTTCTATAAATCCCTACCATGCTAACCAAGGGATATCTACTCAAAACTCGTACTCCATTAGAAAACAGAGTCCACTCAACTACACATACGAGATTGAAATATCCTAGGCTCCTCGCTTTACTGCCAATGGCCGCCGTAACATCTCAAACTGAGCTTCAGCTCGTAGTAGATACTGTATCCCACACCACCAGCACCGATTCTACCCATCAAATTCAACTCGGCAACCTCCCAACCACTGTTGCTAGGCGTATCAAGAAATCATTCACCAACGTCTTAACGAAATTCCATGCTGGTTATTTTAGGGTAAGCCTATCTTTGGGTGGCCAAGCTTTATTATGGAAAACGTTGATAGGACCAACCGACAATATGAGCACTTTTCGACTTGCCCTCCATACGTTTCATCCCGCAGCTTTTACTCTCCTCTGGTGTTTCGCATTCTTTACCCTTGTTTTGCTTTCCGTTATTTACCTTTTGAGATGCTTATTTTACTTTAAGATGGTGAAAGAGGAGTTCTTGCACCATGTAGGTGTCAACTACCTATTCGCTCCGTCGATTTCTTGGCTTCTTTTGCTTCAATCGGCACCCTTCTTTTGCTTCAACAACCCCTACTCATATGCAGTTCTGTGGTGGGTTTTCGCAGTTCCTGTTGTGGTGCTGGATGTTAAAATATATGGGCAATGGTTCACTAAAGGAAAAAAGTTTTTGTCAGCGATTGCAAATCCGACGAGTCATTTGTCTGTTATAGGGAACCTGGTCGTTGCACAAGCAGCAGCAAATATGGGTGGGAAAGAGTGTGCCGTCTGCTTTTTTTCTCTAGGAATAGTACATTATTTGGTTCTCTTCGTGACGCTATACCAGCGTTTATCAGGCACCGATCAGCTTCCGACGCAGTTAAGGCCGGCTTTTTTCTTGTACTTCGCTGCACCAAGCATGGCGAGCTTGGCTTGGCAATCCATTGCTGGTTCTTTCGACACCGCTTCAAAAACGCTCTTCTTTCTCTCGCTCTTCCTCTTCGTTTCACTGGTAATTAATTAATATAAGCTAAAAATTACATAGCTTGAGGCTCTGAATCACGGTGTCCTTTCTGTGAAGGCAAGTTTAATAGTAGCATTGATACAGGTTTGCAGGCCAACACTGTTTAAAAGATCAATGAAAAGGTTCAATGTGGCATGGTGGGCTTATTCGTTTCCCTTGTCCGTGCTGGCTCTGGCTTCCATGGAATATGCAGAAGAAGTGAAAGGGGGCATTTCAAATCTCCTAATGCTGCTTCTCTCAGCATTTTCTGTCCTCGTTTCCATTGGTTTGATCGTTTTAGCTCTGCTCAACAACATTTCGCTCTTACCTCAACAACATATCCGCGACTGCTCGGCAAATCAACGACTACAATTGTTCAATTAGATGAAAGATGGTGTATAAAACATATAAACGACTGTGTGTGTATATATATATAAAATTAGATAGTATTAGTTTTGGGTAAATCCACAAGCATTACCTTTTACGTATTTTCAATAACATTAGTATCTGACCTTTTGCGTATTTACAATAGCATTAGTATCTCATGTGTTTGTACTCAATTAGCGAATATGTTAGAATATAAGCTCAAACTTTATAATTTATAAATTTTTATTTCAAATTAAGACATCATTTCTCAAATTGGAGAAAATCATAAGAAGAAAATATGGATGAATTGAAATTTGTATTTGAAAAAGTATTAGAACAATAAAATATAGTGAATGTTTTTAAGTATGTAATCATTGTTTGGATGCAATCCTTAATAGATTGTCTATCACTGGTCAACTGTTTAGGATGAAGATTTTTGTGGACGATCTTTATACAAGTTGTGATAATATGTAAGAATCTCAGGATCATATTTTCTTCGAGTGTCCTTTCTCAAGGGAGATTTGGGAGGTCATTCTCAGGTCATGTAATGTTTGCATAGAGGTGGGAGTTGAGACGAGGAACTAGGTTGGACTATTTCTATATTTAAGGATAGTCACTTATTGTGTTCATTCTTAAAGTGGTTTGGTATGTATACATATACTGCATAAGTGCATATGGGAGGAGAGAAATTATAGGCAATTATGAGGAGTTGTTAAGTGTACAGACGAAATAATTAATTGTATTAAAGAGACTGTTAGGATAAAAGTGCATACGAAAAATGTTATGAATGATTCTGTAAATTCAATTTTTGGTACAACTTTGAAAATTCAAATTCCCTAGACGATTGACTTTGTATTTTATAATAGCTTGACGTTGCTTCTTTGGATAAACTAAAAATGTATCTGCCGAATTTGCCGACAAATTGTGAGAATAACAATTCAATTTTTCTACTTATATTAAAAAGAAATGACCCATTGATGTTTGCCACCATATCTTTGGAATGCTGATTGATTGCAACAAATGCTTCTTTTTTATGATTTCAACATTGAAAGCGATTACTGGATCTATACAAGAACATGACAGCATAGCATGTCCATGCCAATTTTGTACTATATGGCAAGGGAAGTGCATTTGAGATCATCTCTCTTTTCCTGCTTGCCTACATATCGTATCAATTATTCACCCCAACTATATTTTCTACTGTGAATTGAAGGTGGAATGACTCAAACTAGTGTCTCTTAAGAAGAGAATTTCAGCATTTAACTTTTAATTCAGGTGAAATGATTGTTTTATAATTGATCAAAAATCTATTGATGGTTTTTAATTTTTAATAATTAAAAGTTATTTGAATATAAAATTTTAATAATTTCAAATTTTTTGCATTCTTTAGGGTTGTCATCAGATTATAAGTTAAAATGTTATGTAAAACTTGTCGGTCAATATTTTTAATTTTAAAATGAAATATAATATATTTTTTTATATGTAGAAGGAATTAGTTTTATTAAAAATAAGAAAGATTCATAATTATAATGAAGTTCTACAATTATAATTGTGAATTAATAATATGATAGGATATTTTACTATAATCATTAACACAATAAACCATCCACATAAGACCACGAGGATTTTTCAAAGAAAATGTTAAAAAACCTAACTAAATAAACTCGAACAGAAGGTATATACGAACAAATCTGATCGTATCGATAAACGAATCACAAAAAGATATCAAGCTATTGAAAGATCGCTGATAAAAAGCTAATCAGAGTCGAGAAAACTATCCAAGAATGCAAATCGCGAATCCAAATTCAATTTGAGGGTCTAAAGCAGAGAATATCATCATGATAACAAATAAACATCATATTGATCATTCGTGATGGTCTTAAATCCAACATTGATAAAAAAGATAAACGGTAAAATGGTCCAATGATCGAAAACGTGTCAAAAGACAGAGGAAGACGTATATAAAAAACATATGAAAACATGCAATAAAGACAAAGTTATTAAAAAAACAAAGGAAAATCAAAGATACGAGATAAGAAAATAAAAATAAAAAATACTGATGACAACAATCAACATTAAAATTGATGTTGTCGCCTATGAATTAATGATAAAAAAGATTAAGTAACCATTAGAATTATGAAGATAAAAGATTATTTAAGAATTTTTAATCAAATATAATATAATATTTAAATTATACCAAAATAGTTATTTGTATCAAGTTAAGAAAATAAACACGTGATTGTTATAGTGTGAAATTCTGATAAAGAACGAAGATTTATAATATGGCGAATAGCTGGTCATGAAAGATGACGAGTGAAGGTGGATTATATAATTAATCCGACTAGAGATGAAGTTGATAGCGAAAATTTTAATTCAAATGATGCGTTGTTATGTCTAGATTAGGTTGTAAAGATGACAGAATTCTAACTTTGTCTTGTTATATATGTATATGTAAAAGTCAAAGTTACGGGAAGTGTTATAGATTCTGAATGGTTAACGTTCCAACTTGTCAAATCCATCAAAATTTAGGTTTTCGGAAATTTCGCAACGTCTTGGACTGTTGGGTTTGAAGGAGTTTACTATAAGAGCCCATTAGTATGTCTGGACCGAACTAGAGCTATTGGTTTAAATTTAATGGCCTGAAATTGTTTGGGTTGACTACCCACCTGCGAGAGAGTCCGCAATCCGTTCCAAGGCAAACTGTCGTTTGATCACTCCAGAGAAACAACCAATTTTGTCCATTATGTTTGCTTGTCTCATCTCTTGGCGGCTCCTTTGATCTTACGGTTGTACAAAGAAAAACATGACTTTATTAATATGGATCTTCAACGTTCAAAGCGTGCAGAGGGAGCATGAAATAATAAGAAAAGGTAGCTAAATTAATCCACCAATCATATTATATTATCTGGCTATTTCATGTCAAGAACCTGTACGGTAAATAAATATTTGAAATACTTCCATTCCATTTTACTAAACTCATCGTCAATACAATATGAGAATACCTTCTTTTTAGCGTATTTTCACAGCAATAGGTCAGCAGTATGTACCCACTTGCACGCGATGCAGCTTGCTCAGCCCTCAGTAGATATTAGCTTCTCTATATTGTTTTATTAAAAATAAATAAATATTCTACTGATCAATGTCTACCCAATATGCAATTCAATATTCATCGATCAATATTTTTTTAATGTCTCAAATTGTCCTTCACTCCGTTTCTCGGATCTCTACATACATAGATCTATAAGAGGCGTGCCATACCCTCAACCAGATTTCAAGCACAAATTCACCGAGTTCCTCATCATGGCTTTGACTATCATATCAATGGCCAGCCTGAGATCCGAAACTCAAATTGTGCCTGTCAACTCACCTCAGGCCAGTAGCTTTACCACCACAGTTCAAAGCAGCCTGTCAGCCGTCTTTCCCAGCCGAATAAAGCATTCATTAAGCTCCATCTTAACCAAATTTCATGCAGGTTATTTTAGGATAAGCCTTTCCCTAGGTGGCCAGGCTTTGTTATGGAAGACTCTGATCGGACCAACCCATGACAAAAGCACTCTAAGGCATGTGGTCCACATGTTCCACCCCACTGCTTTTCTCTTATTGTGGTGTTTCGCTCTCTTTATCCTAAGTTTGCTTTCTCTTCTTTACATCTTGAGATGCTTCTTTTACTTTAAGATGGTCAAAGCAGAGTTCTTGCACCATGTAGGAGTTAACTACCTTTTCGCGCCATGGATTTCCTGGCTCCTTTTGCTTCAATCAGCTCCATTTGTCGCACCAAAGACAACCTCCTATCTCGTACTGTGGTGGTTCTTTGCAGTACCTGTGGTTGCACTCGATGTGAAAATTTATGGCCACTGGTTTACCAAAGGGAAGAAATTCCTATCAACGGTGGCAAATCCAACGAGCCAGATATCAGTTATTGGGAATCTGGTTGGAGCACAAGCTGCAGCAAGTATGGGGTGGAAAGAATGCGCCGTTTGCTTGTTTTCACTGGGGATGGTGCATTATTTAGTGCTTTTGGTGACTCTATACCAGCGGTTTTCAGGCAGCGATAGGCTGCCGGCGATGCTTAGGCCGGTTTTCTTCTTGTTCTTCGCTGCACCAAGCGTGGCAAGCTTGGCTTGGGAATCCATAACTGGTGCTTTTGATACAGCATCTAAAATGCTTTTCTTTCTCTCACTTTTCCTCTTCACCTCTCTGGTAATGTATAATTGCATAATACTGCATATCAAGATACTTTCGTGCCGTAAGGTGCTAGCATTGTAGACTTAGATGGAACCATAAATCGGAAAATATTATATTCATTTCATCATTCATACACGACAATTGGTCCCCAACAACTCTTTTATGTGTTTTGGTATGTAATGGAAAGAAAAAAAAACTGCATATTGTTTAAGGTAGACGATTTTAACATTCATCCTTGCATCATCAGTGGTCCTTCCAGGACCCGCGGAATTAACCCTTACCTAATGTATAATTATTTTAATCTTGACCCTTTTTGTTCTCATTTGAACAGTATTGAGACTCGTACTGGTATGGTCAATCCATTTCATCTACAGCTAATGCGTTAACTTTATTAGTATATTATATATTGCCTTTTCAATTCCTATATGTACTGAATTTTGTGGTATCGAATAGGTTTTCCGGCCAGCTCTTTTCAAGAGATCAATGAGGAGATTTAATGTTGCATGGTGGGCTTACTCGTTTCCCTTGACCATACTGGCTCTAGCTTCAACGGAATATGCAGAAGAAGTAAAAGGAAGCATCGCACACATCCTTATGTTTCTTCTATTATCTCTCTCCGTTTTAGTCTCACTTGGTCTCACAATATTCACTCTGCTCAACACTAGAATGTTATTACCCGACAACGATCCAATTTCTGGTCTCTACCATTTACCAATAGTTTCTCCATAAACTCAAAGCCCCAGATCCAAGAAGGAGCCAAAGTCACCAGCAACTAATAGATATATATTATATATGTCTCCTACCAGTTTCTTAGGCTATAAATTTTGCAGTTTTGTTGTAGCCATCGTAAGCATGCACATCTGTAAGCACTCGTTTGTTTGTTCTAAAATATTGTGCATCCAAAAATTGTAGCCTGGTCTACGTTAATCTAGAGCATTCTACGCACTGAAATAAGGAGAGAGAGAATTGGGTGATTCAATTCTGGTTTGGAAGCTTATGATTTGCTTACCTAAATAATATTTTACCTAATCAGTGATATCTTCATATAATATTGCCATTGAAACTCTATATGTATGACTTTTAGATATTATATAGGTTTGGACGATTTGAAATTGCTTAAATGATCAGAAACGTTTGTGTTGAAACCAGATTTAGATTAATAAAATCCATGGGCTGAATTCAAGAAAATAACAAACGTAGCACAGCTTGCAAATTATATTATATCGTGAAGATGAAGATGACTGGTAACTAAACCAGGGATTGTCCTTATGTTGATTGGGCGGCATGAAGTCTTAATTGAATATTTTAAGAAAATTAAACCTTGTCAAGTTCCCAGGATTAGGTGCTTAACTTATGACTTTATGTTCTGAATATTGATATTATATAAGGTAGCTTGTTTTATTATGTTGTTCTCTGCTTCACAGTGGAAGAGACACTTTAAAGTGACATGTCTGCACCAACTCCAGCAGCAAGTTGAGATTTTTATTCATTAGAAATATCCTGGTAAAGTGATAATATAGTAGATATTTCGTATGGCGGTCAACCAGTAACTTTAATCTGTTTGCTATAAATTTAATATATACCCAGTTCCTCTCTTCCGACAATAACAAAAAACAGCGTTTCCACATGGATGGTATTTCTCTTCGAAATTGCACTCTAAGTACGTAATACAATATTATCCTATACACAAGTTGATTATATTTCAGTTCGGATTCGAAACTAACATTTAGCTTTCTTACACACACTAGCTTCCAACAACATCATGCACTTGTTTATCTTATCCCCAATATTCTCAACTCTCCTTCAAACTCGGTTCCTTTTTCTGCTGGGCATGGCAATTTGGGGCACCTAACAGCCGATAAACACATCGTCATTGTCCGAGTGATCACTGATCAGTTTGTTCATAAATGCAACCAGCATCACAGCTCTTGACATATATACAGCCAGCTGGAAGTCACGGTAGTGCACATGGAATTCATGGAAACCATGTCTAAATTATTTGTGGTTCCCTGAACGTTAACATGGTTTTCTATTTCTGTTTATGACTGTGGGGGCATTTATCAACACAGGCATCCTATATTCGCTGTTCATTATGATTGTTAAAGATGATTGAGGGCCCAATCTCTTGAGTTGCTAAAGATGTTGTTCCCCATACTTTTAGTCATTACTCCGGTACCTTGTATTCAAGTTAAATTGACTTTTTGCATGACTTGGCTTCTTTCCAGTTTCTTAGAACATATCAACTAAACTCCAGAAATTTTACACTCAATTATACTTTTTTTATTTAAAGTGAGAAAGCATAGAAATATTAATTAATTCACGTCCCATTAATTATAAGCATACCATGAAGCTATGGGAAAGGGTGATAGAGGCTAGGTTGAGACAGGTTACTAAGGTTTCGGAAAACTAACTTGGCTTTATGCCAGACAGGTCTACTACGGAGGCGATTCATCTACTTCGACGGCATATGGAGAAATATAGGGAAAAAATATAGATATTCACATGGCGTTCATTGACCTTGAGAAGGCGTATGATAGCGTTCCCCGCAATACGATCTGGAAGACCTTGGAAACGAGACGGATCCCAACTACTTATATCCGGACGATTCGTGATATGTACTGTAGATCTACTACATACGTCAGGACTACAGTTGGCGATACCCAGGCATTCCCGGTGGAAATCAGACTCCACCAGGGGTCGGCTCTTAGCCCTTACATCTTCGCCTTGATTATGGACGACATCTATTGTGCGACACCAGACGGTGTTCCATGGTGTATGCTTTTCGCTGATGACATTGTCCTAGTTGCTGAAACAAAAACTGAGTTAAATAATAGACTGGCTACTTGGAAGACTGCTTTGGAAGAAAAAGGTCTAAGGATCAATATTGAAAAGACAGAGTATTTATGTTCAAACTTCAGTGGAAAACAAAACGATGAAGCTGTAGAAGTTTGCATTGAAGGACACGTTCTCTCCTCAAAGGATTGTTTCAAGTACCTAGGGTCTATAATACATAAAGATGGGGGTGTTGATGATGACGTGACATACCGTATAAAGGCGGGATGACTAAAGTGGAGGGTTGCTAGTGGAGGGTTACTAGTGGAGTTTTGTGTGACAAGAAGGTGCATCTAAAACTTAAGGGAAATTTTTATAGAATGACAATAAGATCAGCACTGTTGTATGGATCAGAATGTTGGGCAATCAAGAAGGATCACGTAAGGAGGATGGAGGCTGCAGAAATGAGAATGCTTCGATGGGCATGTGGTAGGACTCTGTGGGACATGACACCAAACTCTGCTATTAGGACGTCCTTGGGGGTGGTGCCTGTATCCGAAAAAATGAGGGGGAAGACTACGGTGGTTTGGGCATGTCCTTAGGCGACAACCGTCGGATACGGTCAGGAGGGTAGAGTTAATTACAGTCGATGATGCCAGAAGGAGAGGACGACCAATGCAGAAATGAGAAGACTGCTTGAGATCTGATTTGAAGGATTTAGCCCTTACCGAGGACATGACCTCTGATAGGAAAGTATGGAGACTTAAGACCAGGGTAGTCGAGTAGTTCGAGTCACAGTCATAGGTTTTAACATCTATGTCCTCTTTTTAATGCATTTGTAGTAATTTCCCTGACTTCTACTTTCTTCACGTTTTGTCATTGGAATTTATGAAGGCTTAAATCTAGGGTAGCGGAGTAGTGTTGCATTAGTTTAGGTTTTAACACATTTGACTTTACTCCTTGTAGCTTACTATCGTTGACTTCTGTGTATCATTCTCTTCAAGTTTCCTCTTTTTAAATTTAGTCGGATATTACGTTTCTGTCTATATTGCCGAGATTTTTATGCAGGGATTTATTCGCAGGGATTACTTCCCATTACAGACGCGCATAAGAAGACTGCTTATAAGAATAAAAAAAATGGGTCAACTATGTATTTATTTATACATGCATTGTATTTTATTTTATTTGTAATTTTTATGACTGCCGGAGGTCTTTCACAGAAGCTACCCTTAACCAGGCGTTGGAGGCAACCTACTACTCTACCTCCCCTTACCCCATTACATATGGGAATAAGGTTTCGTTGTTGTTGTTTATGATTATTTTATGATTTAAGTGTAGATAAGGCATTTGGTATAGTTGAGTAAATTTAAATTAAATCAAAGATGTTATTTCTTATATTTTATATTGTGTACGGTTTACACCCTTTTCCCTGCACGTGGGAAGCTGCTGTTTGCTTGCGCCCCTGTTTAAAGATCTCTGCCATCTTTGTATGAAAGTGAGAGCATACATGGAATTTTTTCTAACATATAAATTTTGAGTTATGATAAAATCAATTATTAACGTATTATTATATTTTATTATATTAATATTAATATTGTTTTTATAGTATTGATATATGTTTTTACTTTTTAAATTATTTAATTAGATTTTTAATATAATATTATTTTTATTATTAAATGATTAACTTTTATTATCTAATGATATAAAAAATAGCCTATTAATATATTATTATGTGATATTAATCTTAGATTGACTACTAAAACTATGATGGTTTGTATAAAATAAGATTGACAATAATGAAAATGTTGCAGTTTCAAATTTTCACGCAAGTGAAATCCGACAATAATTTATCGGTTAGAGGCTTGCTTTCTCTTCTTTACGTTTTAATTTATTTTTTTAATTAATTTGTGATAAGTACAATATAACATTTATTTAAAGATAATTTTCAGTTATATGATTAAATATTTATATTTCTAACATTCGTAGTGCTCAAACTTTTATCTTTAAAAAATAATAACTCTTTTATCACTAAAATCACTTAAATATTGTTGTAATTCAATATTTAATATAATAAAAAATTGATTTAGTAACTCACAAAACTCACATGATGAGGGAGTGTGTGGTTCCCTCTGCTGGAAATGCAAAAATAGGGGACAGTGCCACAGTGGGAGACAACCTTTTAATAACATTCCTTTGAAATTGACATTCAGCTCCATCTATATTAATGAAATTTCATCTCATTTCACTTCTTCAAACTCTTTTATTTTTTAAAAAAAATGATATCTTTGAATATCACGTTTTTACTCAAATATTCCTCATGATAATATTATTATTTTAATACACAAAATCGAATAATTCACGAACTGATATCCTTCTTTATCACATAAATAAGATTTTTCTTTTTAGTATCTCACAATTCATCGTTAAAAAAAATTAATGATCACTTTTGTTCCTATAGTAAAATCAATTTATCATTTTCGCCCTTATCGTATTTCGTATCAATTTAGCTCTCAAAGTTGTTTAAATGCAACATTCTATACCCTATCCCTAACTTAAAACTCTAAATTAATAGTCCTAAACCCTGAACAATAACCTCATAACCTCTAAACCCTAAACAATAAACCTTAATTTCTAACTTTAAGCCCTTAATTTAGGGTTTTAAATGAGGGTTAGAATATAGAATGATGCAATTGAGCAATTTCGATGACTAAATTGATGTAAAAATACGATAGGGGAGAAAATGATAAATTAGTTCTACTACAGGGACAAAAGTTACCCTTTTACCATTAAAAATAATAGATTAATTGAATAACATTTAATGATATTCATAATAAATCATAAGTCATGTTACTATGTGAATATACTTATTAATGTCACTTTATGAATAAACTTATTTCTTATTTTAAAGTTTCATCCATCTAATTATATCTATTAATTTTCAACAATTTTCTTTATCAAATGGTCTTTAACTCTTCATTAAAAGGTATTAACCTTTTGATTCATTTATTCTTCACTATAAATAGGTTAGTTGAGACACAAATTTAGACACAACTTTATAACTTTGGAATAGGAAAACACTTAGAAAATTCCTTCAAATTCGTTATTTTTTATGATAGAGAAAGACAAGATTGTGTTCGATTGATCACTACTATTATGCTTACTGTTATTATTGT